GCGGGCGCGCGCGGGGCCGCGGTCAGGCGGCAAACAGCAGATCTGGTTGGGATATTTTTTTACAGCCGCAGGCGGAAGCGCCAGCGGCGGGAGGTCGCGAACGGGCCGCGGACGCGACTAAATTACCTAACGCGCGCGGGGCCGCGGATCAGGCGGCTCACGAAAGCGTTCAGGGCGGCGGAGCCGAAGCAATCCAGGAGCCAGAGACAGCCCCTGAACGGGCATGCAGCGGTGCGTCCAACGGGCCTGAAGTAGGCACCGAGGAGACCAAGCGCAGCCAAAATGGCGCGAGACGTTCCAACGTCCAGGTGCGAACGAGAGGAACGTACCCGAGGACGTCGGCCCAAGCCTGACAAGTAGCACAGAAGACTGGGGACGTAAGTCCAGCGGAGATCCCGACGACGGCAGCGAGCCGCGACGCCAGAACGGCATCAAAGTGTGAAAATGTTCCGAGAAACTTCTACACCGAGATGCTTCAGCCCAGACCCAGCGGGTGGAAGGGCGCTTGATGCACGCAACACGCTCAAAACGCGGCGTGTGCACATCACAGTGTCTCAGTGCTGTCCAGAACGAGTCGGAGAGCACACGCGGGACGAGACCGCGTATACCCAGGCAAGTCCTTCAAAGCCACTGATCCAGGGTCACGGCGGAAAGCCGTCCAGCATTGAGGGTCCCGAGGACACCGATCCAGGGAGCCTGACGGGTACCACAGGGTGACTGGGAACAAAAGTCCAACGGAAAAAGCTGACAGCGAACCAGGTCGCGACGCAAGAAAGCGCATCCAGGGTGTGGAGCATGACGACAAGAGTACCTTCCACAACTGAGATGCGACAGCCCAGATCCGACGAGCGGAAGGGCGCCGAGTTTTTGTTTTTTGTCTTTTTTCTTTTGTTTCTCCCGCCGATCGCACACGCGACGGTGCGCACACGGTGGCCCGTATAGGGTGGGCCAATCCCGCCGCCACGTAAAGGCCATTGACACCCATGATGAAGAGGACGCCGCGGAACAACCAGCACGAGTGCGCCATGGTATGACGGAGCCATTGCCACCTGCGAAGAAGAACTGGCCGCCCATGAACAGGACAACCCAGACCAGCATGCACAAGGCGGCCGTGCCGAACGAAGAAGCGACACCCGTGAAGCCGAGGAAGCCGCCGAACGACGACACCAGGGGCGGCATGGTACGACGATGCCCAGGGACCAGGGAGCAGCTAACGGCTGCAACGGACTTTGTAGAAAGGCGGACCCGGGCCACCCGCTCCCACGGCACGCTGGGCTGTTGGCGCAGTGGCCTCGGGTCACCTGCACCTGCAGTCGGCCTTGCAGACCCAGTCCCTCAGCGCCTCGTCCCACTCCAGGTTCGACTGTGTCCGCCGGCGGTTATGCATTCCACACTGCCTGCGCTGTAGCGGAGGACGGTCGGCACCAACTTCGCCACCCACATCTCTCTGAGCAGCGATTGGGCCGGCTGCCACTGCCCGCACTTCTCGCACGCGCTGGTCGGGGTGTAGCTCCTGAGGACGGTCGGCGCCAGCTTCGCCACCCACTTCTCTCTCTGAGCAGCGACCAGGCCGGCTGCCACTGTCCGCACTTCTCGCACGCGATGGTCGGGATGTGGCTCAGGAGGACGGTCAGCGCCAGCTTCTCCACCCACAGTTCTCTAAGCAACGGTAGGGCCGGCTGCCACTGCCCGCATGCCGCCACTGCCATCCTCCTCCGTCCTGCCACTGCCGCCTGGCCCCGCTCCAATGCCGCCACTGCCGTCCCCCCTCCCCTCTCCTCCTTCGTCCACCGTGCCTCCTGCCGTGCCGCCACTGCCGTCCCACCCCACTCTCCCCAACAGGACAGCCAGCCCCGTCCTGCCACATACGGTGCACGCCGCGCCTGTCCCCTCCCGCCGCGCCGGCCACGAAGTGAGGTCAGCGCCCCCCGCCCCCAGGCACTGGAAGCACGTCCACGCCCGGCCATCGCCACTGCCACTGCCGTGTCTCCCCACACCACTGCCACTGCCGTCCCAGCTGCATGCCTCCCCCGCTTCCTGCACGCCTCCCACCGTAATGCTGCCACTGCCGTCCCCTCCTCCTCCGATGCCACTGCCGTCCCTCCCAGGTCCGTCCCGCCTGCTGGCACCAGCGTCGCCCCGCACTGCGGCCGGAGCAGTGCCAGACCTCGCAGCCACTGCCCGCCCTTCTCGCAGTTGTAGCTCGTGGAGCAGTGGCGGCGCCCGCGCCTCGCTGAGCAGCGCCATGGCTCGACGGCCCGCTCCGCCATCGCAGCTCGGGGCTCGCTGAGCAGCGGCAGCGCCCGCTGTCAAGGCGCCTCCTCGTGCTCCGCCTCCTTGGCGACCCCTGCGGCGGACGGAAGCGCCCCGGCTGGCGCCCGCGCGTGGGGCCGGGCTGGTGGGCGCCGAATACCAGGAGACGATGCGCATGAGCTCCGAGGTAGCAGCAGCCACTTCCGCGGCGGCGCCACGGATCCGGCAGGTCTGCGGGCTCTCGAACGTCGCCTGCACCCCAAAGCGGCGACCCAAGACAGCTAGGTCGCTCAAGAAGGTACGTTGTGCAGATACGTCCCAGCGGGAGAGCTCAGGCACGTCGGTCGATGTCGCCACGGACTCCGTCGGCAGCTGCCGAGAAGGCGCCACTGGAGGCGGGGAAGAAGGCGTCGTGGCAGGTGTGGCCGTCGAGGTCCGTGCGTGCGCTAGTACAAGCAGCGTCGCCTGCTTGAGCTCCCGGTCGACAGCTCTTCTGGCCAGATTACCTGGGGTGTCCTTCCACACGGCCAGCCCCCATTCGAGGTGCACGCTGAAGGTCTCGTAGGTGCCGACGAGTGCGCACGTCCGAACGTGGATGCCGCTATCGAGGGCCACAGTGGGCCGCAGACCACTCGGCCCCCAGCGCGCCTGCAAGTCTGCTTCCCACCTAGGGACGAGGAGCGCGGCGGGCACGTCAAGGGACCGAAGCAGACCCCGTGTCCGGATCTCCACATTCCGCAGCTCCGGGGCGGCCAGGGCGACGTCCTCCAGGAACTCCTGGACGAGACAGGCGTGGGTGACGGACTCCAGGCCCGCATCCTGCACCAGCTGGAGGAGTCTGTCTGCTTCGACTATGTTGCAGACGCCTCCGAGTGGCGATGCGTGCCGCACCGTGCACAAATAGAGGTCGTCAATGCGTATCGTGTGCGGATTCACGCGGACGAGCCACTCCAGGATCAGCCGTCGGTATTTCGAGCCAGACGAACTGCCTTCCAGAATCGTGTGTGCCAGGACCGACGGAAGATTCTGCGGAGCATCCAGGGAGCCGCCAACGGGAGTGGCATGGGAGAAGCGGCACGCTCCGATCCGATGCTAAGGGCACGCCTGCCCGTGCCGACAGTGGCCTGGCGCCGCGTGGGAGCGCCCCGCGTGGGCGGGGGCGGGGGCGGCTCCGGGCGCCCAGGGGGGCCGGCGGCAGTAGTTACCGCAGCAGCGCCGCTGGCCGCGTGCCGCTCTGTGTGAGACGCGCGCTCGGCACCTCCACGGGCGTAGACAGACATCAGGAGGACCCGGGCAGCCGCGAGCTGCTCTCCCCGCTCTCTGGCGGCCTCCCGGAGTCGGCGCGCGCGCGCCCGCCAGGCCGCTTGCAGCTTCACCAACCCTGCGGCCGCTCTGCCCGCCAAGTCGCCGTCGAGAGGACAGCCAAGGCCAGGAGGGTCCCAAACCGTGTCGGGGCCAGGCGCTCCCCGCGGCGCGCTGAAGCGTGCGACATCCAGGCATGGCGGGGGGGTGGGACACCAAGTGTCTGGCCACTCGTCCATCTCCCCCTTGACGTGAGGACCGAGTGCCGTAGTGCCACCAGCGAGGTTCTGCAGAAGGTGTCGCAGCCCGTCCAGCGCGGCCACAGCAGCAGCAGCAGCAGTAGTGGTCTTCGCCCGCGCGCAGGGAACGCCGGCCGCAGCAGCAGCGGGGGCCGCTGGAGGCGCCGCAGCGGCGCGGCGCGCCGCCGCCGCTCGCTGCCGGGCACGGCGGCAGGCCCACGGCCGCAGCGCCAACTCGCCGCCGCCGCCGCCGACCATGGCGGGCCGTGCGCGCCCCGCACCATCGGCCGGTGAGCCCCGCGCGCTCCGCTCTGCCGCGGGCCGGCCCGCGCTGCACCTGCCCAGCTGGGTCGAGCCCGACGGCCTTGACCCAAAGGCTTGAGCCAGAGGCTACGGAAACTGGTTGGGATACGCGAAACTTTAAGAAATTATTTTTCATTATTATCATTATTATGATCACAAATGCTTGTTTTTCCCCCATGCAGCGCACGCACATTTCAAAGTGCCATCGTGGAAACCTGAACGGGGTGAAACACCGGCCTAAGGAAGTCCCCGAAGTGCGGCTAAACAGCGAAACAAAAGGAGGAGGAGGAGGAGGAGGAAAAAAAGGGAGATGGGGCCCATTCCTATTGATCTTTGTCCATACTCTTTCGATTAGACTCCCCACCCAACTCCGGCTTTTCACTGTAATTTCGCTCGTGCATTTCCGTTTCCGGTTCCTGACTGCAAATCATGGGACTTCCGAGCCCGGTTCTTTATGCTGGTATTGTCTCAATCCCGTCATCTACATTTTTTGTCGATTCCCGACTTCCAAGACCGAGAACACTTCCCAACATACCTTTTCAAATCCGATAACAACTACGGATCAAGCACTGTGCCCTGCAGCGACGCGATTTCCACCAAAAGATACAGCGAACAGTTGACGCCAAATCTACGGCCCCCTTCCATCTCCACTTAACCTCCGTTCGACGCCTCTTGGGACCCACATGGGCGGGTCTGCCATCCATTGCGATTTGTTTTTTTTTCCGCCGCAGCGCGCCCACAACATCGCCAAGAGCCCGAACCGAAAACCAGTCTGGGGTGAAACAGCGGCTAAGCAGCAGAGAGCGGCAGCTCAGCAGAGCGAAAGGAGGAGGAGGAGGAGGAGGAGGAGGAGGAGAGATCAGACAATCTCGAGCTCAGCCAGAGGGCACGCTGGCTCACGAGATGTCTGCGGCAAATCACCACCTGGAGTCAGAATAGTTCTCGCAACGGCTCGTTGCACCGCCATGCCTAGAAGCAATGGCAGTAATTGTACTGCTTGCGGTCCCATCCTGCCGTAGACTTTTGCACTTAGTGATTGTATAGATTCCAACCCACTATCGCGCACTTCGTGGTAGATGCTGTTGTTCGCAATTTCAGCCTGTTCCAACAGCCGCCCTCCGTAGTTGCTTGTCCCTGATCTGGGGGCCTCATTCCCTGAAATCGGAGAAAGAACTGTTGCATCGCAGAATAAAGGTAGACCTCCAGCTACATTTAAACAGGGAGCCACCAAATCAATACGTCGCATATCCGTTGGTGGTACTGGGATGCGTGTTGTATGCAGCACGCGTTCTACATTCCGGTCTGGAATGTACGATCCAGTTTCCGTCAAAACTTGCCTCCATGTTGCAACGAATTCCCGGTGGCGGCCGTGGGTATTGCCTTGGAGAGCTGTCGCGAGAGCTGCGTGCCCGTGTGGGTCTGGAGATTCGTGGATGCACGCGAAACCCAGCCGACGGCGTATAGCACATTGCAGGGCCTCGGTTGATAGCGTAAGCCCGGCGCACATCGGGCATACGAGGAGCTATACGGAGGCGAACGGCCCCATGCACGAATACAGTCGGCTCTTGCCAGCGGAAATCGCATTCGCCCGTTGACTGGGCAACGCTAGTTGGCGGAGAAGGTCTGCGTGTATGAATCTTTCAATGTGATTGGAAGCGCAGAATTGCAAAGGATCGTCTCCATTTGTGTGTCGTTCGGGTGCCCGGGTGCCTCCAGCTATAACCGTCCATGTTAGTCTGTCTGTCCACCCGTGTAATTCGCAGTATGCGCTAGCGAGTTCTGCCGCAAGTAAACAGGCAGGTTCCCGGCGAGAGCCCATGTGGGTTACAGTAAGATGGTGTAGAATATTTCGCCCAAGCATGGGGAACCGTGCAACCAAGACTGGTAGGACATCCGCTCAGCTACCCCAATGAGCAGCGGCAGCGCTGCGTACTGAGTTTCGCAGACCCGTGCCTCTCAAGCTTAGTGGTAGACTGGCTTGCTTGTGTAACCCAAGCGTCACTACCATTACCACATAGCGGGAGACCAAGTAGATTTCGGAATGCTTGTAAAATGGCAGCATCGTGCGCCATGGCAAGTGATTGAACCTTGTTTGGTGGGAAGTTGCGTAGTAGATGATTAAGCCGGGGCACTGCACAATAATAGAGAAGCAATAGCTTCGCCCTCTTTTCGGCAATGGTCTCGCCGAATGCTTATATAAATTCTTCCTTGCCGAATGGTGTCCCTAACACCTGGAGGCCTCGTGCATCAGATTTCCAAGCGTTCGGTGCGACATTGGCTAAATCTTGCGGGTAAGACCCAAATTGATGCCCCCACACGGCCAATTTGCCCACATGCACGTCGATATGGCATACATTGTGTAATACGTTTTGCGCATCGTCTAAGATAGAAGCAGCGTCAATCGGATCGCATGCAACATATATGTCGTCTAAATAAGGCAAAATTTCAGCTTTTGGCGGCAGTCTGGATTGGATTTCGCTCAGTGCCCGGCGCAAGGCCA